TAGTTACGCAAAACAGAGCGTGCCCGCTCCGACCGGCTTCAAAGGGTTAATGATAACAGGGTGGCTATGTCCATTGTTTATATACAGTCTGTAGTGGTTTCCAATGTCCACAGTGGAAAACCCCCGACATATACAAACAAACAATAACTGATATCAAAATGAAGATAAACTGGTCAGGTTGGAAAAGTCGGAAAAAGGTATTCTGGACTGAAAGATCTGCTTTGAAATAACTTTTAAATATAGAATTCAGTTATCGAATCAGAGCCTGAAATTATGCAAACTTTCTCTTGTTTGTGTGAAATGTGCACACAGTTGGTTTATCATCTTTTCTTAAAAAACAGTGTTTTCTTTATAAAAGCTTTACTATACATTTATTCTAGAGGTTACTTCTGATATAAGCCAGTATCTTTTACCCATAACAAATTTAAAGAAGGCGTCAGCTGCACAGTGTTCTGTATAGACTGTGTGTTTAAAGTGAATTCAGGATTTGAGCCCAAAGATCGGAGATTTTAAATGTGGCCTAAACTCAGTATAATGGAGCCGACTAGAAACTGAGCGCGCCATCTTCAACTTAAAACACATGACATAATTGTATCTGTAAAATTCAAAGACTGCTCCACCTGTGGATAACAAGAAGAGGTAAAACATTTCTGAGCAGTCCCTGCACTGATTGTCTCACCTGACCACATCCATGGAGGCGGCGCCGGACTTGAAGAAGTCTGTGGTGTCCTCAATGGCTGGCACGTTGCTGAGGATGGTCTTCCAGATGTTCTGCAGTAAAACAATGTTTTAAATGGGCTGATGTCTTTCATTTAAATCATTTACAGTCTATTGGGAGATAAAACCAATCAGATGACACAGGGGCTCACTTGCCCTGATCTCCTCTGCCATCGTCTTCTCGTCATCGGTCAGCTCCACACTGGCGCTTTCTCCGGAAGAGAAATATTTGGAAGCAGGAATCATTTTCCCATCTTCAAACTGCAGGTTCTTCACTAGGAGCTGTGGCACAAACAGTAAAGATGAAACAGGGCGTGCTGGCAGTGCATTTGATTTAGTCAGCTGTGTTTGAGTTAACAGAGTTCACCGTCTGATAGCTAATAGAGGCACCAACACACTCATGCAGCTCGGCCTTTGTTTGCTCTCAGTTATTTGTTTTATCAGGTCACTCACAGCTTTGCCGTCAGTTCCATACAGGACGAGCCCGTTTTTGGCGACACGAGCAGCCTGAGAAGCCCCCTCGATGTCCAGTGGCTGGCCCTCGGGTACAGACCCCCCCAACATGGAGGAGCCATAAAGGGTCACAGACTGAGGAAAGACCCAGAGAAGATTTTAAAATACATCCAGAGTGTTTGGTGTTATCTTTGCTCAGTCATTCTGGAAAACACACCTGGCCATCGATGACCGTCCAAGCACCGGGGACTTTGTCGTGGCCACGGATCCAGTTGTGGATCGCCTCGGCTGGCTGTGCCAGATTCACCTGGGGGACACAAGAAGAAGCCTGTGTAAACAGTGCCTGAGCTACGTTTCCCAGAAAGAGAAGGAAGGTCAGCTGACGGCCTCCGATTAAGCAACAGGTGGAAAAATGATGCTAGAAAACGAGACGAGAATAGCACATTTGTGATAGCTGCAAGCAAACATCTCTCCATGTGACAAATCAGGAAGCAGCTAAGATCGGCTCCACCTCGCTCTTTCACGTTACAGGGAGATCCACCCCAAACCAGTCCGAGCTGCTCACTGGTGCAGCTAATAGGAAATTTCCAGAGAGAGTTATCACTCTG